TAGGGATATTATGTGGCTTAATGCTAGTTTTTTTGATGGTTAAAGAGGTGCTGGTATAAGCACTCATCCTCGTGACTTAAGCGTGTAAGGAATGCTCTTTCAATTTAGGTTTATTATCTCTGTGGGGTTAATTAACTTTGTAGATTGTAGGAGCATAGTTTTTGTTAAGAGAAAAACAAGCAGCGCTTATAATTGAAAAACACACACAGTTCTTTGGAGAATGTAAGAAATGTCTTAATGATTTTCCACAAGTGAAAAGTTGGCTTTGTCCTTTTCACTAACAGTGGTGCTCTTGGTACAACTACCTTTTGCTTACTGGGAGAGAGACCCAGAGGCAGAGGTCTTCCAGAGCACTACTGGAGTCTTAACTACTTTTCTCCTAGGGTTGCACTTTATTTTCTCCTTTCTTTTTCCATCACAGGTTACTATTTTAAGGAAATAACAGTGTTTATTTCTGTTGTTGGCAGCCCATCAAAGTAAGTCCTTTATTGTCTTCAGAAGATTATCTGTCTGTTGCAGTGTTGTAAAGGCATTTCTGGAGTTGTCCTACCAAATACTGTGATCCTACCATAACCAGACCCTCACAGTCTCTCATAGAAAGATGTCTGTTATTTACAATTAGCTAAAGGAAGAGAAAATGTTGTTTAATCCCCAGCATAGTTGCTTGTTTCCAACACTAAAAAACTGTGAGTGGTAGCACAGTGATTTGTGTATTAATATTTGTTACATGAAGGTCACATTGATATGTATTTTGTCATCTTCAGAGAAGTCTTGAAGGTATTTTACATTAATTATGTGTAGCACTGGCTTGTTTGTGTGGGTTCTTGTAATTCTGTATGGACTTCTTACATGAGTAGAATCCACACATGACTTGGAACTCTTGAGTATGTTGTAGAGCTGTGGAGTGGACAAGTAAAATAAGTTTCTTTCTTGGTTTCTTCCAAGCTTTCTGATCTGGTATAAGGAATTGGCTGAGACACGTCTGGACCTGAGTCCAGATTTCCCATGTTGGATCTCCAGAACACTTGCCAGTATTGACTTTTGTCCATAGTCTCCTCTGTAAGTGCTGGCCTTCTACAGAAAAGAATCTTCCATCTTTCTTCTATCCATCTTACATCTATCTTCCAAAAGTATTACTAATGTAGAAATGTATTTTTTCATAAACAGAAAAAGCAAATGAAGACAAGTATTATTCTAGGAGGAATCTGTGTGGTAAAAATCTCCAAGTTCAGCGTTTCTTCAGTTTTGATTCCTAAAAATGCAGCATAGTCAAATATAGCATTACCTTCAACTTGCTTCATGTATGCAGTTGTGAGATCGCCACGTAACCTCTTCTGAAAAAGAATGATTCTGGGAGATACATTTTTGTCAGAGATACTGTATTTTTCCCCTCAAAATCGTGCCGTCTGCAGTTGGGAAAAAATTACTTGTCTCATGAAAATTTCTAGGAAACTACAGCTAAGTCAGAAAAGTAGTGATGTGCTATGTACTGGCAACTGTATTTTGATTTCTGATGCTAAATCGATTTTTAGAAGTATTGTAGTTCACTGCTACTTGGTGCCAGCTGAGAATCTCTGGAGCTCCTAAGGTTCTCTACTGTTCCATCTTGCCCCACTGGAGCTCCTAAGGTTCTCTACTGTTCCATCAAGAAGATGTGTCCCTCTTGCCCCATCCCATGATCAGAGGAGGTGTCTGCGCAAAGAAGATGCCTGCAGTTTGGTTTTGTGATTTGTGTATGACTTTCCATGAGTAAGGGCTGGAGCTGTGAGGAAGGAAGAGGAACAGCCATGGCTCTGGGCAAAATTAATTGTTCTCTTTAGTTAGATCTGGCTTATGGGCAACAAGTTTCTCAGCCCTGGGACTGAAAGCGTGTTGGTGCAAAAAGAAATGTTGAGCTAAGCCAGATAGGTTTTGATGACATGTCTTGGATGGCAGATGTTTCCTGCAGCTTTGTCCTTCCCAGAAAAGAAGAAGTCTTCCCTTTGTCACAGGTCAGCATGCCCAGAACTTGGTTGTTTGTAAACCAGGCAGTGCAGTTTTTCTCAGCAGTGATGCTGAGTGGTCAGATTTACCACTGGTTGTAGCTTTGGGAGACAACCACAATATTTGTGAGGATTGTAGCGTATTTTTACAGTGATTGCACAGGCAAGCTGAGTTTCAAACGAACTTTTTCTGTGGTAATTCTTTATTGTGGTGGTCTTGGTTGTTCTCTAAGTAAACATGGCATTTAGTTTGAAGAATGCTTTTGGGATGTGCTTTGTGGAATTGCCAAGGCCTTGTGATCCCAGTTCTTCAAAGTGTTAATTTCAGATAGACTGATGTGGTATTTTTCCTCGGTATTTTGAGGAATCTTAATTTTAATGACAGTCTCTGTACCTAGATTTTTCTTATTTGTATCTCAAAATGGTAACATCAAAAGAGTCATGAGCACCTGGTTAAGCTACAGATAAGCACCTGCAAGGCTTTCACCATCCCTCTTGTGCTATGCTCTTAATTTTCTTCCTTTGATATTGGGGTAGGAGTGGGGGAAAAATACTGAATCCTTTAAATTAGAACTGTTGGGTGAGGTTTGAATACCCACACTGTGGATCCCTTTTGTAAGTATTGGGTGGGTTTTAATAATGTGGGTTTTTTTGTTTTCCTTGTCCGGTGGTTATTCACCTGTGTTTGTAACACAATGTAACCTGTTCTAGTTCAGGCTGAAAATGGCAAGCACTCTCTCTTAAATTACTTTAGTTTACAACTTAGCTTTCTGGGACTTTGTTCACTTACAGACAAGTGCCACAAGTCTCACTAGCAGTCTGAGAGCTGTGCTCAGATGGAAATAGGCTGCTTTCTAGATCCTAATTTGGAAGGACTTCATTTTGATAGGGCCTTGCTTTTGTCCCTCACCACTTACCTCATTTCTTGGTTGGAATTTACTGCATTTAGTTTTCATTTAGTCTTCTTAATGAAAAGGTGCTCTGATACCTTCTTTTTAAGATCTTCAATTTCAAGGTATTATTGAATGTCAGTAGGTCTTGAGAGCTGTGGCTGAAATTGTCTGAACTGTATGTACATTTTTATGTCTTTACTTTTAAGCAAAGCAGTCAAATTGTATGGGTGGAGGTCTGCTTTTGGTTATAAGGTCTATTACATGATTTTTTCCATATGTATAAAAAACTTCAGTAGATGAGAGTATATGTTTAATGGAAGCAGTCACCAAAAAAAGATTTTCAGTCTTTATCCTCAGGGACAGGGAAAATCTGAAATTCTTCATACCTTTGAAAGCACATTACTAGCAGATTGGCCTTTTCAGGGTATATATTCAGTTTCCCAAAATAGTCACACGGTGTCATTTTGATAACATGTGTATCCATAGTTATCACTTCGCTGTGACAGTAGCTGCTTGCACTGTCTCTACGACCGCTAGGAGCACTTGTTGGTATAATAATGTCAATTATTTTTTTTTTTAACATTAAATTTATACTTGCAAGAAGCCTGTCTTGGGGTTGATTGCTGAACGAATGCTTTTGTGTGTTTAATTTGGGAATGAATAAACTATGCTAACAGCGTCGTTTTAACACAGACTGTGGGTCTGAAGGCCTTTTGTTATGGATGAACTGAAGATTAATTATTTTTTTTTGCCTAAGGCTGGGTCAGTAGTGTGAAGTGCATGGTCACAAGAGTCAAACAAGCTGGAGCTCTGCCTTTTAGAGAGCTCTGCCTTGGTCCTGAGGTTATTGGGGCAATGCAAAAGCACAAAATATTTACTGTCCAAAAATAGTGCGATTCCTGGGGAGTGTTAATGAAGGCAAAAAAGAGAACGAAGGGTGAACTGGAAACACTTCTTGAATAAAATGTTAATTATCATACAGCTACAGGTGTGAAGCTGGTGTTTTGCTGAAGTGCAAAATTTTAACAAAGTTGAGGCATGCCGTGCAGAACCTAAGATTTCAAAGTTGGGAAGAGGAAACAGTTTACGAGATTGTATTCAGAGAGATGTTTTGCTGAAATGTATTAGAAGAGTTCCAAGACTGATTGCCATCTTCTTCCTTATTTTGTGACATATAAATAAGAAATTGTGCATTTCAGTACATGTTTAAACAGGAGTTCCCTTACAGTCTAAATTGGATTCTTTAGAGAAGCTGCAGTAGTGGCAGTTAACTCCAATCAAAGAATTGTTACTGTATTTTTAGCACTTTGCAGCCCCTGATAACATGAATAAATTGTGGGACACCTCCCACTAGACCAGGTTGCTCAAAGACCCATCCGTCCTGGCCTTTAACACTTCCAGGGTTGGGAAAGCCACTACTACCTTGGGCAATCTGTTCCAGTGTCTCACCACCCTCATAGGAAAGAATTTCTTCCTAATGTCTAACCTAAATCTCCCTTCTTCCAGTTTAAAATCAAAACTCCTTGTCCTATTATTCTATTCCCTTGTAAAAAGCCCGTCTCCAGATTTTTCTGTAGCCCCTTCGATACCGGAAGGTGCTATAAGGTCTCCCTGGAGTCTTTTTCTTCTCTAGGCTGTACAACCCCAACTCTTTCAGCCTGTCTCTAGAGAAGAGGTGCTCCAGCCCTTTGATCATCTTTGTGGCCCTCCTCTGGACTTGGTCCAACAGCTCCATGTCTTTCTTGTGTTGAAGGCTCCAGAACTGGACACGGTACTCCAGGTGGGGTCTTACAAGACCAAAGTAGAGGGGAAGAATCACCTCCTTCTACCTGCTGGCCATGCTTATTTTGATGCAACCCAGGACACAGCTGGCTTTCTGGGCTGCAAGTGCACATTGCTGGCTCATGTTGAGTTTCTCATCAATGTAACACCCCTAAGTCCTCCTCAGGGCTGTCCTCAATCCACTCTCCAACCAGCCTGTATTTGTGCTTCTGATTGCCCTCACCCAGGTGCAGGACTGTGCACTGTGCCTTGTTGAACTTGATGAGGTTGGCATTGGTCCATCTCTCCAGCCTGTCAGGATCCTTCTGGTTGGCATCCCTTCCCTCCAACATATCAATCTCACCACACAGCTGGATGTTGTCAGCAAACTTGCTGAGGATGCCCTCAGTGCCACTGGTCATGTCGCTGACAAAGATGTTAAATAGCACTAGTCCCAGTATCAATCCTGGAACACCACTTATCACTGGTCTCCATTTGGACATCAAGATGTTGACCATTACTCTCTTGTGTGACCATCCAGCCAATGTTGCTAATACCTTATTTTCCATAAATGAAAAACAATGGTCAGGTTTTCTGAAGTTGCAGCTAACAGCTTTAGGAACATTTTGTCTTGTCCCAGATAATTTCTGTAAGCATTAACTACATACGCACTTTACATTCCTTATTTCCCTGTGATGTTGGCTATTTATTGAAATAAGTAAAATTTGGGGGGGAAATCACATAAAAAAGAACAAAGAGACATGCAGAATAAAAACAGAGCTTACATAACACTGAAACAACAAGAACTGGAAAAAAATGGATCCCAAGTAGTCAACAACCTGTCCTTGAGACACAAGCCTGCAAGACAGATGAAAGGGATGGAAAAGAGTCCTCCCCACAAGTTATCTTGGTTATAGCCTTGAGCACTAGGTAGAAAACACTGGCTAATTGGACTCGCCATATTAACATATCATCAGCATATTTGTGGGCTGTTAGCAAACTATTGGAGCATATATCTTGATTCTGTGTGCATCAGCTTCTTGCACACTGGGTTACAGACCCTGCTTTTGGGACAAAATCTTTTGCTTTTGGCCCATACAAGGGAGTTGGAACTAGGTGATCTTTAACATCCCTTCCAACCCAAACCATTCTCTGATTCTGTTCTTTCTGATTTTTGCCATTAGGTGTAAGTTGTCCTCATTTGTGTTCTACTTGTAGGCATCTGATTTAGATTTATTTAGCTTAATAATCAGTATCTAATCCAGATGTATTTAGACTCATTTAACCAGAAGAGAGAAGGGAGGGAGTTCTTGAAGTGCAGTTTTGTGTGCAGCCTGTGAGAAGACACTTTCATTGAGGCCATGCTGAAAAAAATCAGGATATCCTTGAGTGAGGGAAACCAAATGCCAAGTTCTGGTGGACAGAGGTTGTGTCCTAATGCCTTCCCATCTTTTCAGTCATTCCTATCCCTAGTGAGTTTCTGTTTTGTTTTGTTTTTTTTAACTATTTGTATTTCCCTACTAAGCAGCAGGGGTAAAGAATTGAATTTGCCCTCATGCACGGAGAATGCCAGTCTTAACAGGACTTCATCAAGAGGAGAAATGAAATCTTTTTGGAAAATGTGTTTGCGTATATGGATAAACACAGATGAGAGATGAATAGCATTGTTAATGTGTCTGTATTGGCATGCATGGTGCATTTTACAGTAACTTTCTTCCAAAGTGCTGTGGTTTTTAAAGCAACTTATATCTTTTTAGAAGATGATGATGTATTCCCTTGACTGTCTCTTAGCGAGCAGTGTGAATACTTGAAGAACAGATTAACAGTTCTTTGGAGGTGGTAATACCAAGTAAAATGTATTTTTAAAGGTGTTTGGTTTGTTTAATTAATAACCCTTTATTGCTGTTTGGGGAGTTCCCATTCAAAAGTTCTGCTAATATTTGCACTCATTGATTTGAAAAATTTTATTTTTGTCAAGACCTTCCTGACTAAAACTTCCTCCTAGATAAAAATCAAAACCAAACCAAATTACTGCTGGCAAACTGCTTTTCCTGCAAAGGACACACACTCTGACCTTTATACAGCAGGTTGGAGCGTTTCTGAAAGTCACTCTGGTTCTGCCTGGTTATCAGCACAGCTCTGTAAACATCATTGTTCCGTGCAATGTTTCTTTGTTACTTTAAGGTTGTAATATTGTATACTTTTTTAAGCATTGAAAAAATGGCAAGTTGAAGTTCTATGGCGTTTTAAAAAAAACAACAACCCAGACTGGGTTGTTACTCCTTTGTCAGACAAGACCAACATATTTTTGTTAGCAGTCTCACTTTTGTTTTCAGAGTATTGGCAAGAGGAAGCATGAGGTTTTTTTGGCAGCTGTAAGGTGTTAGCCCTTTCTCTGAGAACCTTTCAGTGACATTGAATCCTCTTTGTTTAGCAGAGAACCTGAGGAGCCTTTGGTTCACACAGAGTAGGGCGAGCAGCGCATCCTGCCCGGGCTGCCAACAGTCAGCAGGCACAGGAAGCTGCTTTGCACCAGCTTTGAAGGAGACAGAGCTTGTTTGAGAGCTGAGTAAAGCAGTCTGGCTGAGGGGTTGCCTCAGTTCTTGCACATCTGGGAAGCAGGTTTATGTTTCATAACATCCTTGCCAAACTGGTAGGAGCTGGGTGTGTCTAAATCTAACTTTTTCTCTGGAGAAGCCAAACTTTTATTTTGCAAGTGGTGTTCTTTATTTTTAAGAGTATTCAGTCTGGTTTTTCAGTGTTTTCATTTTGATTTTCTTTCTTTTTTTAGGAGGTCCAAACATATGGGCCATCACCTCTGAAGAGCGGGCCAAGCATGACAAGCAGTTTGATAGTCTTAAACCCATGGGAGGCTACATTACAGGTTAGTCTGGTCTGAAGTTCTGCATCACACATTAACTTCTCGGTACACATAAGTATCTTTGTAAACCAGTTTGAAAACTACATCCTATTTCTTAGTCCTTTGTTGTGTGACTGATAATGACAGTCTTTGGGCAAACAGCCACAGGTTATTACTAAACTTCTGGTAGGTTTGGGCTGAAGTGTGGCACAGAAATGCTCTTTCATTAACCCTGTCACTTCTGCAGCTCCCAGTTATGTGCTGTCACTCTGTCTAGTTGCAAAACCCGATGAGTATCCGGCACAGTCTGTGTCTAGATGGGAGGCTGCCAAGGAGCACTCACAGTAGCTATTGTGGCAAATGATGCCAGAGAGACCACAAGTGACTCTCCTGTCTAAACAGTGCTAGAGAATACTGTGCTGCTGTTAGATATCTTTGTTTTGGAAGAGAATGCAGGGAGAGAGATGCTGACAGCTTGTTCTTGTTAATGACTGCTTGAAATTTATTAACCCTTGGGCCTTTGGCAACTTCTGGGGAGGGTAATGGTATTTTGCAATGGCTCCTGTCAGTTCTGGTTGCACTCAGCTGCTTCTCCTCTGAAACAATTGGGTCATGTTGCTGCACATCTCTGAATTTGCAGATTTTACATTTAAGAATCTGCTTATGACATCAAGAAAAGTCTCAATGTCACTGACAAAGATGACTTAATTTAAGAATGCCCTGTTCTTTTTGTTTGAGTGGGCGCTAAAGACCAGCCCTGATCACTTCTAGCCCTTAACTATGTGCTAATGCCTTATCTGATGACTCCACTACCCCTAATTTTCCTCTTTTTTTGATCCAAAAAAGACTGATGAATGAGTGGGAAGTTTTCAGTTTGGAACATACATATCTGCTGGCTAAGTGATAGATAACTCCTGCTCTGGCCAAACAGCTCTGGCAGGTTGGTATTTACTTCACCACCAGCTGGAAAGTATGCAGTCCCAGGGACTACCTTTAGGCCACATCTGAGCAGTTACCTGCATGTGTGTCTGCAGGCTTCATTATTTATTTGGCAAGTGCTTGAAATCAAGGGCTATATATTAATATAAGAGAAGAAAGCGCTGAAAGAATAACCTGAAGCCTTAGCTGTAAGTGTCTGTAATTCATTCACAGATAACCATGAGCACCACTATCTGAGTTTTATTACAAGTTTGTTTAACAGCACAATCAGTACCAGTTTATGTGGAACCTGGTGTGGAGTTGCACAACAATGCTCATTCCCTTCCTGAGATACTGAACAAGTGGATGTTCTCTGGTGGAAGAGAATATTAGTTAGGACATAATGTTTTTCCAGTTTTTCTGTAAAGAGGAAGTGCTGGGTAAAGTTAGATTGGATGAAGGAGAAGGAAAGAAACAGTATGCACATCCTTTCCTGTAAAAGTAATTGGGTCAGGACTAAATTTTCAGTCAGTTTTATTTTTTTAAAGCTTGCATCTATTCAACTGTCAGTAGCTGTTGATTTGTGACCTCTTAAAGCTTTTTACAGCTATTTGAAGTCACTTCTCAAAGCAAAAATTCAGGCTTACAGAGTACATGAGTATCCTGACAGTTGCTGTCACCAGGGAAGGAGTTACTGGTACAACTCTGGACAGTTTGGCATCCAGTGTGGTGGTTCCTTTTGAACACCTGACCCACAATAGAGTGCTGAGGTCTCCTGAAAACCTGTGTCTGACATGTAAAAGTCTGTCTTTTTTTCTTGTTTAGGTGATCAAGCACGTACCTTTTTTTTGCAGTCAGGTCTACCAGCTTCTATCCTTGCTGAAATATGGTAAGATTTTTTTTAATTATTACTATTTTTAGAATAGGAAGTGCATAGCATTCAAATACTATCTTCAGCATGTTGTGTTGCTTCAAAGAGGATTTCAGCAGGCAAAGCAGGAGTGTTGTCTGAATCTTTATTTTTAATAAGTTTAGTGGAAGGATTGAGCCCATAGATGTACCAACACTTAATTAAAAAGCAATATCTTTGAAAATCTTTCTTATGATGTTAATTCATCGTATTAAGCACAGGCTTTTTAAACTATAGTAAGTGCTTGACACAAAAAGCAATGACAAAGTGTAAGGAATTCATAGGGGGAATGCCTGTGGGACTGCCACAAAGGTCATTGTTAAGCTTTGTCTGAATAGTTCAAATAATAATACAGAAAAAGATGTAAATAATGGGTTAATGAATTTCTGGAGATACCAAACTGAATGATGTTTGAAATACTAGTAACGACTAAAAAATGTGAATAAGATTAAGTGTGGGAAAAAATTATATGCTAATAAACTGAGAGTGGAAAATACTGAAGGTACTTCTACTTTCATGACTGAATGTGGAAGACAGGAAAAAAATTCTAAAGCCACAGGAAAAGTAGGTGGTCAGTTATAGTACCTTGTAAGATACCAACCAGTGCTATAATGCAGGCATGGGAAAAAGCCCTGTATTTTGCAGCATATATATGGTGATTGCTGTACTCAAAACAGACATTTTCTGCTTGTAACTCCTCAGTCTTCACTAGAATACTCTGTTCATGTTGGGGTACTTAGTTGTCTCCAAGATGTACATGTGCTAAAAGGCTTATAATAATTACAAACACTCATGGAAGAATGTTAAAGCAACTAACTAAATGCAAAGTTAGTTTTTTTCTTTAGACACTGAAATACCTAGAAAAGAGTGGTAAGGAAATTTTTGCACAGGACCTCAGGGTTTTACACTGAATAGCAACAGAATGAAAGGGAAAACAGAGCTTAATAAGTCTGATCTTTTTTCTCTTAATTTTACATTCCTGTGCCTGGTCCTCACACATTTAATTATTAATAACATTTCTTATTTTCTGACTGACCAGCAAGTTTGTCTGTTTATGTTTGCACTGTTACATATACTTCCTCTTGTATTTAGATTTATTTGGAAAAGTGTCTAAGGAAGGCAGAGTGGCTGTCAGGTTTTAAAAAGCCTGCCATTGGTGAGATGGTGCAGTTTTCTTAGTGGTATCTAGTGCCTTTAGCAGGTCTCTGCATCTTGCTGTTTCAGATTCTTGCATTAATTCCTTACAGTGCCAGACATTAATTTAAAATAATTAAGATGACTAGTTGCACAGAAAGAAGCATAGCAGTTGCATATCTATAGCAGGAGACCACTGCCTTTCCAAGTGTCTTCCCACTTCCTCAGGTGTGACAACATATTTAAGACAACTTTAAAACTGAAGTCTGCAGAAAACTACCAAGTGGAGTGTACTTAATACAGCTGGACAAATATTATGTCCACGCTGACCTTCAATACCTGTAGGTTGACAAAGTAGAAGAATTAAAGTCTGCAAACTTCTGAGGGTTTGAATGTTGTCAAAAGTAGAAAATCTGCAATATTGTTGTTTGCTTGTACAAAAGCACTAAATAAATCTGATAGAAAAGCTTCTTGGTAAGGGAAAAAGTCAATTTTACGTTTCTTCCTTGTGGACTTTTCTAATTTTACTTTATTTTTAAGGACACTCTCAGACCTGAACAAGGATGGAAAAATGGATCAACAGGAGTTTTCTATAGCCATGAAACTCATCAAGCTGAAATTACAAGGACAGAACTTGCCTGCGATTCTCCCTCCTGTCATGAAACAAACTCCAGTTTTTTCACCACTAATGTCAGCTCGCTTTGGTACTTATGAATTTGTAATTACTTAGTGTTCAGAGTACAAAAAAACACAGTTAATTGCTGCCAAATACAAGCATTAATCTGACCACAAGAGTTGACTGTGAATCACTAAAAAAACCAACAAGGATATTCTGATGTAGGAAATACACAAAGTCACTTTCTAGACATTTTTTTATAATTTCATTCCTGTAAGACATTTAATAATAAAGAAAAAATTTCTATTGAAGTTTGCCATGAGATGCAAGGGACCATTCACATTTGCCATTTAGCTTGCAGGCTGTCATCTTGTACTGAATGTCTTTTTTTTTTTTTTTTGTCTCACTCCTACTCATTCATCTAATTTTACTCAGGGTTTTTCAATTTAAACTTGGTTCGGGTCAAAGTTTTCATAGAAGACTTATTTCGAGTATTTTTTCCAAAATGGTCAGATTGTGTATTTTGGTTTTATGTTCAGTCGAATATAATTATTTTAATATTTTTTTCCCTTGCCTGGCTGTGTTTTGGGATTCAGAGAATTCCTGTTGTTACTTTGTTGATTTGTGGAATACAATATATGTTGTGTCTTTAGTTGGATTTCAAAATCGGTGCATACTTCTGTGCTGAAATTCAATGTATGTATATAGTAATTACATACATGGTTTAAAATGTCTGCCCATGAGTAAATCTTCTGTGTTTGCATACAAGTGCCTGCATTGATTGGTATCTGTGGTTGGTATATGGTTAATTCCTGTTGACCTTCCACCACAGCATTTGCATACTGTTGTCATCCACAAGATTCAGTCAGTAATTCAATTGCCCTTATTCACTTCAGGCAACTGCCTTAAAGAAGCCATTTGCTGGGCATATGTCCCTAAGTATGGACTTTTTCATGCAGATTCTTCCAAGGCTGATGCTTTGAAGAGACTTGGTTCCACAATGGTGTCAGTTTTTCCCTTTAGAGGTTGGTCACAACTTTTGAGTTGCGTTGTAGTTCTCCCTCAGGGACCAGATGTGGAAACAATTGTTGGAGAACTAGTTATAGCTTCAATTATAGGAAACCAGGTCTTACTCTGCTGTGAAATACTAGCTAAACCTACCTTGTGAATTCATTACTTGTAAGGATCTTTTTTTTTCTTTTTAATTCATGTTCTTCAGCATATTTACTTCTTCAAGCTGTCTTGTCTAAGCTTTTGAGAAGAAGTAAATATTATTCTTGGGCATCTGTTTAAGCTCATGGTACCTCTGGGCACAGGTTGCTTTGTGTAGTTTCTGCCTAGTATAATGGAGCTGATTTCTTGCTGGAGCCTATGCAGTATCAAATAATGAATTGTTGGCTTTTGCTCTAGGAATGGGTAGTATGCCAAATCTGTCCATGCCAACATCAGTGTCTACAATCACACCATTAGCTCCCATGTCTCTGACCTCCATGACTTCCATTCCTCCTTTGGTTATCCCTGCTCCCCTGGTGCCTTCTGTCAGTACCTCCTCCTTGCCAAATGGAACGTCCAGCCTTCTGCAGCCTTTGTCCGTAACTTTCTCTTCAAGTAAGTACAGTCCAATCCAGGACTCCCTTTCAGAGTTGTGAATCTGATTTTTCTCTATGGCTAATTTCAGAAAGGAATGCTAATATTTGAATGTGAGTTTTTTGTGTTTTTTTTTTTTAAATTGTATTTTTTCCAATGTTTGTATTTGTTAAATCAGTTTTAAGTAGTGATTCTTAACAACGAGGTACTGATTAGCTTTTCTTAGTTCTGTCAAAGCCTTGAGCTTATTACAAATCACTGCCCTTGACCTGGTTGCTTTACAGTTTATGGTTTTGTTTTTCTTTTGATTTCAGCGCTGCCTCATACTGGTTCTTTAGGTCCCATGGCAGGAGGGTTTGGTGGTACTAGCATCCAGAAGGCACAGTCACTAATCGATTTAGGATCTAGCAGGTATGCAAGTTAAGTTTAAAATGCTTGTATATTAAACTTGAATAATATGCCTTCCAAAACTTCTGGAGCATTTCTGTTTTCAAAAGATACTCATTAAAAATTAGTCTGTACATACCAAGTCTGAAAAGAGATTATTCATTGTGCATATCAAAACAATATTTTCAAAAATTGTGACAAAACTATCCAAAGTTGGTGAGGAGTTTAAATGAGAGAAAGCAGTGCCAAAAAGAAGGGGATGTACCTCATTGGTAAACAGAAGTAAAACTTACAAAGTGGTTATAAAAGCAATGTTTATGGATTGATGTGCTCATTCATAATAGAGAACACCATGTAATTAGCGAGCATGTAAGAATAGTCTTGGTTATAAATATTTATGTGTGAATTTGTTTTATGAATAATAGAAGACTATGAATCTTTGTCATCAGCTGCCCTAATGCACTGATTTCAGAGCTTCACCACAGACAAAGTGAGGGACTAGGCTCATCTGTCCAGTAGGGTATCCTGGTAAGAGTCTTCCAAAAGACAGTCCAGAGGGCATCTCAGCCCCAGCTCAGTTCCAGAAGGGGACTCAGAAGAGCCTGCACCTCTTTGCTGCTGACACATCTGGGATGAACACATCTGACTTGGGGCTCCTTGCACAGACAGACCCTTGGTGCTAGCGAAGATTTGATAAGATGATTGCAGGCATGTTGTGTGCCTGTCATCACCTTTTTTAAAACTGTTTTTTATTCTGAAAGCTTTCCTTAGCTGGTGGTGTAATGTTACTGTTGACAGTACTTTCACCATCTTGTTACCTAATTCCATGCAAATGATGTCTATCCAGCATTGTGCCTAAAAGCCTTTGCTTATATCAGCATTCTTTATTGCTTTGGATAAAGCAGGCAGGATGTACCTGATTTTGTCTCATCTCCAAAGATGGGACACACTGAAAGTGCTGAGAGTTTCCAGTAGAATTTTTGTAAGTGTAACTAAACACTCCAAGAAGTGCTGTTCTGCAGAACGAGTTGGAAAAACTCCATTCAGCCTGTCATTGTCACTAATAAAAAGAATATAGTGAGGTGGAATATAGTGACTTTAGCAGCTTTAGAGGCTGCTTTTGGTTGTGCATTTATCAGTTAGGTTTTTATGCTCATGGTTATTTGTTTAAGTAACTCTTGGAGTTACTTAACTTTAACCTCCCAATGCTTCACAACCCTTGTAAACATTTTTTGTGGAAGTTGAGATTATTTCCTGTAGTCTCCTGTAGTATTATTTTGCTGTGGTGGACTGATGAATTATGTGGCATGAGTGGCCATGATACCAAGGGAACATGACCTTGAATTCAATAATTTCTCATTAGATATGTTGTCCCTGCTTTCACAATGGAATTCTGTATTAGTGATTAAAATGTTTATAGCAAGTTAGCAGAGGTAAAACTTTGTGGAAGTTGTTTCATGTTACTGGAAGATGCTATATATCTTCTGTTCCAATGCCTGTCTATTAAGCCAAGTAACTTATTATGTATCTTTGTAAAATATATTTTATTTTTTTATTGTCTTGCAGTTCAAATTCTTCCTCTAGTGCTTCACTAGCTGGAAATTCACCAAAGATTGCATCTTCAGACTGGGCAGTTCCTCAGGCCTCCAGATTAAAATATAGACAGAAATTTAACAGTCTTGATAAAAGTATGAGTGGATATTTATCAGGTGAGTTTGGCATTTGATATCGAGGGGGAAAATCTGCAGCATTTTCTGGCTCAGGAACGTCACCCGCCGAGGGATCCAACTTGTGATTTCACTTCCATGTGAATAGAAGGTGAAATTGTTGACATTGAGGTTTCTGCAGGAGAGTGTAGGTTTCAGCTACTGGTTCTGGTCAGCCAAGAATTGACTGGGCATCAGTTTATTGGCTTGGGCTCTGTGTTAGACCTGGAGCTGCCTAAGGAGACAGCAGTTTCCCCAGGTAGACTGAGGAACCTTCAGCAGCAGTTGAGGGGAAAGGGAAGGGCAGCAGTGGTGGGATCTGACTGGAAGAGCCTGAGAAGCATAAGACTGGGAAAGTTAGCTCCAGGAAATCAGCAGTCATTTTTCAAGCATCAGTCTTTGGACTGAGACTGTTTTCTTGCAACTTTGTAAAAGGGGGACATCTCACAGTCATTTTTGTGCCATGTACTTGCTTATATGTCTATATCTATATATATATCTCAGTAATTGCTTAGATATTTGGGCTTTATCTTTACAAATGAATAAGTTTGGGCAAGACACTGCAGTACTGCATTGATTGGAATTTTTCAAAGGTAATTTAAGAGAGTGATTCCTTTTTGACCCTTAGTGACATTTGTGCTGTGCCATGTTGTGGTGGTTTTAAAAGAATTCATACCAAGTTAAGATGAGAGTAGAGTTTTATGAACGTTCTTATAATACTGGATTGCTCACTGTACTGCAGCAAGTAAAGCACTGGCCAAGCAGTTTGTAAAGTCAGTATGTATATCTGTAGCTGACTAGGTTTGCCATTTTGAATAAGTACTTACCAAGCCTCTGCTTCAATATCCTTGCCTTCAAAAAAGAACAATTCTCTCTTTCAAAAAAGGGACTCAATGCTTTTTGTCTTCTTCAGTTGATTTTGGGCTGAAGATTTCATCAACCTGCCTAGAAAGTTATATGGTTCTTTGCCGTCAAAGGAAAGCTGACAGGGTTCCAGTGTGCTAGCTCAAGCTTCAGCTAAACAGTCAGCTGTGCTTTTCTAACAGCTTTGTGGATTACCATAAATATCCTTTTTTTTTTTTTTGTCAGTTTTTCTGTCAGGTGTTCTAAGTGGAAAAAAGTACATGAAAACACTTACATCTTTATTGTGTTCAGGTTGTAATGCCTACTAAGCCAGGGAGTAAAGCCAGCTGTCAGCCACTGATGAAAATGGATTAGACTAATATTAAAAATAAACATGTCCTAGTTCATGACCCATTTTTTGCTACACGTGTCACTTTGTTCAAAGTGGTTATTTTTATTAAAATCTTTTATACTTTCACTAAGGATTTCAAGCAAGGAATGCACTTCTGCAATCAAACCTTTCACAGACTCAGCTGGCTACTATTTGGTAAGTTTAGTTACTGATTATTAATTCAATGTCTTATGGTGCTAAGAGAATAAAGGTACTTTATTTAACAAGAAATGGTGAAGGGACATCATAGATATAAAATCATAAACTAAGCTACATGTTGTTCATAAGTCACATTTTCAAAAGACACCTTGACATACAGTTTTTCCCCTCTTTGTGTTTGTTTGCTTAACTCTTTATAATAGCACAGATACTTATTTTAGTTTCTGATTCAGTAATGCCCTAGTTTAGCTGAGATGAGGGTTTGTTCCTTTTAGAAGTAGGATTCTGAACACAAGCTTGTTAGTTTTAAAATATGGAGAAAGATTAAAAAACTGAAGGGTTACTTAATTTTTACAATTTTACTGCAGTTCCCGTAAAGGTGTCTGCACATTACACATTTTTTAAGACTTGCCTTTACTTTGGTGCTGGAAATGGTTACAGTGTCTGAAGGCTTGAATGTGCCCTGCTAAATATGGTGGTTTGTGTTCCACCTTCAGACATAACTAGGATGTTATACATATACTGGCCCAGCAGAATTCACAATAACTCGGTGCTTTTAATCTCTGAGTTCCTTTTCTTCTTCCTCTTTCTCCCAGGGCAATAATTTGTTTGTCTCTAGCAGCAGCAAGCTGCAGTATTGTATTTGTTCAGCTTGTTTGGTTCATGCTGTAAAGGGAAAAATGGGGAGTCGGGCTGTATTCCTGCACCTTGCTATGGGGAAATAAAGCAGGCTTAGAGTGACTGTTTTCTTCCTGGGCTCCTAGCCTGGAGTGTCACTAGCCAATGTGAGCAGGTCTGTGCACCTGTGTACAGATGACTAACAGCTCAAGTTTCAGTTTTGCCCAAAGTAAGGAATTAGTAATATTTCTAGTGGGGCCCTGTATTCATGGTGCTTACTGTAATAATGGTGCTGTGAATAGTGCTGGTCTGTGAACATAATAAAAATCACATTTCATCATGTCCTGCTTTTGTTTTTCATTTTGGTGTGTGTGTGTGTGCTGGGTTTTTTGTTTGTTTTGTTGCTTCCTTTTTGGTTTGAGTGGATTTTTTTAAACTGCTTTTTTTTTTTTTTTATGAGCACTTATTTTATTAACCACTTGCTTAAGTGCAGTCTAAGGATACATTCCTGCAATGTATCTACACAGATGGATCTTTTAGAAAGGTTCCTGCTTTCTTGCCTGTTTCTCTGGAAACATTTTACTGTCCCGTGTCTCCCCCTTCACCCCTTTTTTGTGGGAAGCATTTTGTAGGCCAGTGATCTGATTGTATGGTTTATCTTCTCCTTTGAAGGGGGTAGGTGATCCTTTTCGTCCTCATGTCTTCCCTGCACTGTTAGGGAGCCACAAGGTGAAAAAATAATTCTAAGCAAAGGTTCCTGTTGTAGAATTTGATGTAATTTTAAATCAAGTTTTCCTTTGCTGTAAAATAAAATAATTTTTTTTTTAAATCATTTTGATCTCTTTAAGAACAGTCTTGGATTCTCATCTCAGCTTTTTTCTTGCTGATGCAGTAAATGATGCCTCTTAATCTTTCCTGTGCTTTTTGCTGTATTTTATAACACCTGAATAGCAGTGCATTTTGGAGAAGATTCTGAGGGACCTTACAGTGACCTTCCAGTACCTGGAAGGGGCCTATAAGAAGGCTGAGGAAGAGCTGTTCACCAGGGCATGTGAAGATAGGACAAGGGGTAATGGTTTTAAGCTAGAGAAGGGCAGATTTAGGTTGGACTTTAGGAAAAAGTTCTTTAATATGAGGGTGGTGGATCACTGGATTGGGTTGCCTAGAGAGGTGGTGGGGGCCCCATCCCTGCAGACGTTCAAGGTCAGGCTTGATGGGGCTCTGAGCAAGTTATTCTAGTTGGAGATGTCCCTGCTTGTTGTAGGGATTTTGGACTAGATGACCTTTAGAGCTCCCTTCCAACCCAAGACATTCTATGATTCTGTGAAACAGAATAATACCTCTTTTTATCAGCTGTTCATGTTATTAATTGTAATAATTTTTACGAGACCATTTCATGGGAATTTTCTAGTTTAAAAATTTTGTTTACATTCAATTCTTTCAGCTATCATTTGTGAGTGATTGTGATATTTGTTTCTATTTATTATTTCTGTTAAAACTGTGCAGGTCACTAGCTGATATTGATGGAGATGGGCAGCTGAAAGCTGACGAGTTTGTGTTAGCCATGCACCTAACTGATATGGCCAAAGCTGGACAACCTCTACCACTAACTCTGCCTCTTGAACTGGTTCCACCTTCTTTCAGGTATATCACTCAAGGCAGTGAAACATAGAATATTTTCTGTGGAAGTGTTTTAAATTAAGGAAACAGCTGTGTTATTTCTCTGATAATGCTGGGGGCTTTTTACCCTCCAGGAGTGGAAAATATACTGAGAATATAAATGGAACTCTGCCATCTTACCTGCCTGTGCAAGAGGAGGAGCCACAGAAAAAGCAGCCAGGTAAAACGGGGTTCACAGTCTTAATATATAGAGCTGTTGTTGGAGGTGGAAACCGTAATAAAATCCCTAGGGAGCTTCATTCCAGGAGCTCGATCCCTTTTAACTTGGATGTTAGGAAGGTTGTTAAGTGGATGTAGCCAGCTTATTACATCTAACAGAACTGAGAAGGCAGAAATAGGGTCTATTTTTAGCTGTAGGAAAGGAAGAGTGTGCTGATTAATAATGTATTTTGGAAACAAAATCCATCACGGCCACACACTGCCATACTACTGCACATTTTTCTTCAGTTGAAAGTTCCTGCTATTACTTTTTTCTGGACATTTTGGAAACAAGAGGTTCCGAGGTAGTTTAATTCTCTGAAAACTAGATGCAGTTTGCACATAATGTAGATTTTGCTGTGTCTGCCTGGTGCTACCAGCAAAGATCTCTTACATGCACTTTGCAAGAGGTGACTTGCTGGGAGCTTAAACCATTCCTTTGTCTCTCTTTTTATCCTAAACTGCAGCAATTGAGCTTGGTCCTCTTCTGTTTTCCCCTGGTTTTACCTCCCGGAGCTCTTACAGGGAACACCCTGAAAAACTTCAGCTCTGTCTCTGTTAGTGTTTCTTGCACAGTGGAAAACCTTTCTAACAGAAGATAATCTTCTCCTAGCTTATAAAAGCTGTTCTTTTATGTTTCCTCTAAAACTCAAGTCATTTTTGTGGTCAGTCTTGAATTACAACTTTTTTTTTTTTTGCAATTGGAACAGACTTGGGAAAATCTAAAGGTATTTTTGAAAGGAAAAATAATACTTTAACAAATGCAAGATGCTTATATCATCCATGACCCAACAGCCTGAGCCTGCCTAAAAGAAAGAGTCTCTCTTGAGCAGCATAACCGAGGTATTTGTTTGAGAGTCGTGTTTTGCACAGGACAGAAATAACTGCCTTTCCTTGTTTTAGTGACATTTGAGGACAAAAGGAAAGCCAACTATGAGAGGGGAAACATGGAGCTGGAAAAACGCCGTCAGGTCCTGTTGGAGCAGCAGCAGAGAGAGGCTGAACGCAAGGCTCAGAAAGAGAGAGAAGAACGAGAGCGAAAAGAGAGGGAACGGCAGGAACAGGAACGGAAGAAACAGCTGGAACTGGAGAGGCAGCTGGAGAGACAGCGAGAGCTGGAAAGGCAAAGGGAAGAGGAACGGAGGAAAGAAATAGAAAGGCGGGAGGTTGTTTTCTTGAAATTATTTTTTAATGCTTTAAGGCATGTGTACATGCATAAAGTGTACCCTTGGCAGAGCATTCAGGGTTTGAGTGCTGCCTTTGGTTCTGCCACTTCACGTGGCAACTGGCAGGTTGTCTTGAAAGGAGCATCACTTCTGGCTGAAAACATTGTCTCTGTTAGAAATTCAACAAGCGTTGATATAGGTCGAAGATTTCCAGGTGCTTCATAGGACAGATGAGATTTTCTTGGACAGATTTCTTGGTTTTATGCAAAAATCTATATACCAACCAAGATTGTACTGAATTCATAGCTGATAACTTTTTCACAACTGAGCTTGAGACAAATTTGCTTCTACTTGGTGTCTCAACACATGTAGAAGGCTTGCATATTTTTGTAGTTCTGTGAAATATTCAAAGGAGGTCATGAGGAATTATCTGTTAATGTGCTTATTTGTGGGCAGTATTCTTAGATAAACAGACTTCCTGTCTGAATTATGTAGCTTTACTTCAGAGTTAGGAGCATGACATGAAGAATCTTACAGGATTGGTCCATTCCTTGATGCTGAAGTACATAAGAGCACTTTACAAAAAGACAGTATGAGGTATTGCTGTTATGCTAGTTAGAAACAGAGCACATTATATTAAATCATGATCTCAGAGTTCTGCATTTCCATTGTCATTTAAGGTAATGTAACTTTTCTGCAGGCAGCAAAGCAAGAGCTCGAGCGCCAGCGACGACTGGAATGGGAGAGGATTCGTCGCCAAGAACTTCTTAATCAACGTAACAGGGAACAAGAAGAAATTGTAAAGTTGACCTCTAAAAAGAAGAGCCTTAATCTCGAGTTAGAAGCTCTGGTAAGACAGAAATTTCACTACACGTATTGAGATGCAGTATTTTAAAGCATGCAAATCTTAGAATCTACCTTAATTGTCCAGCGGGAGTTTCACCCTGCTTTGCATGAGCAATCTGAAGCAGATATTTTGTGTTCTTTTAAAGAGTTGATCATGTAACTGATTGCTCACAGGTTTAGTGAAGATGTGCTACGTGCTGTGTGTGATGTAATTTCTCTTTGTTTTCCTTCCAGACGGACAGACACCAGCAAATCTCAGGCAGATTGCAAGATATTCGAAGCAAAAACCAAATTCAGAAAACTGAGCTGGAGGCATTAGATAAGAAATATGACCAAGGAATTATGGAGGTCAAGCAACTACAACAACAGCTTCAGGTATGTGACTTCCTGTTAAGCTTGCAGCTTTTTTACTTCTGTATTTCTGTCAATAATTCATGCTGATAGGGAGGAACAGTGAATGGGTTGGATTATAGTGGAGACAGGAAATCAGCAAGGCCATCAACACTACATATGTTTTAGTTTTATTTGTGGTATTAAAGAAATTATTGAATGCCCTACAGCAAGATGATAGTTGAAAGAGGACAGTAGTCAACACCTCAGCTGTTCTTATGTGAAACAGTAATAGTGACTTATCTTTAATTATGAATTCTTTTGTGGCTCCAGACTCAGTTTTTATGAGGAATGTTTTTCTGTAAGCCTTTGGCCTGAATTAAACCCTGCTGCTTTTTTTTTCTCAATTTGAATAGCAAGGCATGAATTACTTCAAATCAGTTGACTGCTAGAAATCATCCTCTACTATATTTTTGTGTAATGCTCCCGCATATCAGGACATCTCTTTTCATGTTCCATTGTGTCATAGGAAGTTACCATTTTATATTAGGCTTGGGGCAGTCAACTTAAACACTCTCATCAGAATATTCACACTTTTACCTTGTCTGGGGTTTTTTTTCAGGATTTTTTTCTGCTTGTATTAATGTTTTTGGATCAAAATAATTACATTTTAATAGTATTTATAGAGAGTGTAGAAGTAATTTTTGCTTCTACTCCATAATGATAACTTTCACCCATGTTATGTTTGAAAATTCACCCATTTTTACTTATTGATTGACAAACAATTTAAAAAATTTGCTATGTTCTCTTCAATATCTACAGGAATATCAGAATAAACTAATCTGTTTAGTTCCTGAAAGACAATTGTTAAGTGAAAGAATTAAAAACGGTCAACTTGAAAACACTCAGAGTAAGTGCCTGCAAATGAATTCTCTTTGGTGTGTGTTGCTCTCTTGTTCATCACTTGTAAAAAAGGCTGAGGGATACAGGGGTGTTAATATCACCTTCACTTTCCTTTTTTTTTTCAGTTACTACCATCTTAGCATCATTGTTTCTGCATTCCATTATTTCCTTTAGGTTCTAAATAAGGGGAAAATAAACACATTTTTGCAAGAATACACAGATTTTGCTTGATACTTTATTTACACAGACTATGCAGTCCCCATATACTATTATATCTTGTCTTTTTTTGGTAGTGTAAACTCATGGGAGTTAATTTATGTAAATTTTAGACTGGTCTTTACATGACATCACACCACACTAGAACTCCCTGTGTAGAAAAGCCTGCTATGAGTTGGTCTGATATTAAAAAAACCAACTTGCCAATTATTCTGTATCTATTACATTTAATGCCTGTGTGTCTCAGGTGTTGGGGCCATTTCTTCTTTCTGCTGTGTAAGAACAGAAAGGTAAATCAAGGAAATTTTGTGAGGAAAGAGGTTGGGAACATATGTATATTAGGAAAATGATAAAATAATTAGTGGAAAAAAAAATCCTTGTAAAATTGCTTGTCTTATGCAGATACAGGAATCAGTTCCGTGCACAAGAAGTCCCTTGAAAAGGAAGAAATATGCCAAAGACTTAGGGAACAACTAGATGCCCTGGAGAAAGAAACTGCTTCTAAACTTGCTGAAATGGATGCATTCAACAGCCAGCTTAAGGTACATGCAGTCTTTGAATACCTTGTCTTCCACCAGTAAGCAGCATCTTTATTTCTCCATCCAGTCAAAAATGGTAGCACTTCTACCAGGCTTCCAAAAGGCTTTCCCCAAGTTCTAATGTCAAATAAGAATTACTGACATTCTTGGAGTAAGTAATCTAAGAGAAATGCACTTAAAACTATTGTTAATGCAATAAAACATGAATCTCTTGCTAATCAACGCTTTGCATGAATCAACTGTTGCTCTGTCTCAACTTTTACCTTTTAGAATCCATTTTGATTTAGAATTGAGGTTTCTCAGGCTCTTACAATTTCTCTTGTTATGGTACTAAGGTTATACTGCTACATGTTTTTAATTGTGGACTGAATATTTAACTTATTTGAAAGAAATACAAGGCTTCATAATACATTGTACAAGATCTGGTAGCAGACTTTGATACTGTCCTACAAGTAATTGTGGGCCACTTATTTATGTAGAAGTTAAGAAATACTGACCACTATCATAGAATTAGAGAATGATAGAATGGTTTGAATGGGAAATGACCTTAAAGATCATCTAGTTCCAGCCTCTCTGCATGGGTGGGGACACCTCCCACACCTCCCAGGTGTGTTCAGGGCCCCATCCAACCTGGTCTGGAACATTTTTATTTCAAAGGCTACTCTTGACTTGCCTAAAAATGCATGCAGCTCTCAGGCAGGGTGACATGCATCCACTTAACTTGAGTTACCAGCTTACTCCCTACTGGCACTGATATGAACTTTATTATTCTTAAGTAATGGATTTATGCTGTGCCAGTGTAATGGCTCTGCAGTCTCCAGTACAAAGAACACAAAGGAAAATATGTAAATGTTTAATAAGAGTTTATTTTCTTTTTTTTTTTTTTCAATGGCTACATATAACATGCAGTTTTGGTTACTTGTTTGTTGCATGGCTTGCTGTGTTCTGTGGCTGCATCTACCATTTAGTCTTCCCTAAAATATGTTTTTAAAAATACAGTGCAAAGATTAATTGGCTTTTTATCTGCCTTATCTTACAGTGTGAGAATATGGATGATTCTGTTCTTCAGTGCCTTTTGTCTCTGCTAAGCTGTCTCAACAACCTCTTCCTCTTACTTAAGGTTATTTTCTAATCTTTGGCTCTTTTGGTTTTTAATTATTTTGCAATTTTTCTCTGCTTACCCTTTCTGTTTGGATGTACAATAAACTTCCCTAAAAGAAAATCAATTCCTTCTGCTAGCTTTTCCTTCCTTTAAAAGACTTAAAATTTTCTTACCTGCTTATAAAGCTGAACTGCAAAATACTGATAGCCATTTTATGTATTAACAGGCTATGTTCACTCAGTTGTTTTTTCTGGAGATTTTTCATTTTTAGTTTCAGTAACAGCAAGCAAAAGTCTTAGATGAAACAGTGTCTTTTCCTACCTTTCCTTCTTTTGCTTTCTACCTGTCTCACAATGCCTGTATCCCTACATCTTAAGCTGTGAGTCAGGTTAATGCATTCTTTGAGTTTAAGAATCTAGAAATAGCATCAAATACACAGAATATGACATTATGAGATGGCAAATGCAATGCTATTAAGCTTCCAGATTAACCCAGTACTAAGACTTGCTGGTTTTCCTCAACACTACTTTTATCTGCTGGGGTCAAAAATCCAACTTAGATATTTTTTTCCTCATAAATTATTCTCAGAATTATTTCACTGACCTTTAAATCAAAGATACAAGAGTTTTTATAATGCAGCTTTGTTTCCATAGTGATCCTCAATTTCTATGCAAAATGAGAAGAGAAAGTATTTTCAGCTGAATATGTTTTGGGGAAAATAGTAGTCAATTGTTTGGTTTAGCTTGTTGCTACAGAAACTTTCACTTAAACAGAAATCTGGTTATGTTGCCCTTTACATATAAATAGCACAGTATCTCTTAGGCAGAATTCTTATTGGTAGAGGCACATACTGTAGTGGGAACAGATCATTCTTAAGGGCTTTGTTTGCATTGATGAGATCAGATATGAAAGGCCAGAGGATACCTGTTGCTTTGTCCAGTCTGTGTCAATAGGATTCCGAAGAAAAAATAATGTAGTATCTTACAGATATTTTGTGACTTGATAAAGTACAATTTCAAAGAAATTCTGTTGCTGATTTTTTTTTCTTCTGTAAATTTAATTATCCAAAAGATTCACGCTCATTTTCTGCTGTGGAAACGTTTGTTATCAGAGGGAGATGGAATAAGGGTGGAAGGATGTGTGTGAAAGACAAAAGTTCATAAATACAGGAAAACTCCAGTCTGAGTTAGTGTCTTTAGGCTATTGCTTCCCCCAGGAGTAAGCTTGCTGGATGTTTGTCTGAAGTATTTCTGATTTAAATGTGGGACTGGTGATTCAGACAGCATTGCAAAGGTGAACACCTTACTGAAGGGATGGATCCTGGGTTTATGGTATTCTGTTGACCTTCAGTTGGTCTGCCTCCTCAGCAGATGTGTCCTGGAGTTATTTAAAAGATGCTTCATTGCCTTCTGTGTCCTTAGATAACGTTGTATTCAAACACTCAATTTTACATTTTCTCCTCTGTTGCATTTGCCATTTCCAGCAGGTGTGTGACTGGAAGGGCTCTTTGAAAGCCGAAGTTACATCAAAGGCTTTGCAAAGCTGCCAGCTGCTTTTATACTTCTATTGATTTGACTTTCTTTACAGTGACCTCCAAGGACTATTAGTAACTTAATATCACTTTGTCCATTTTTACTAAAACTTGGTCCACAAAGCATAAAAATGCCTGGATGTTTTTTTCAGAAGATTGGCTTTATTCCTTTTGATGTACTTTGTTGTCTTTCCTCATTAGGACCTGCGAGAAAGTTACAGCACACAGCAGTTGGCCTTGGAGCAGCTCCACAGGATTAAACAGGACAAAGTAAGAGAGGTAGAAAGAAGAAGAGCTGAACTTGCACAGAAAAAGCGACTGGAAGATGAGGCTGCAAGGTACTATGTGTATCAGCATTGCAGTTTTTAAAACAAACAGATGTTGTGGTGATGTGAAGACACTGACTGTAATAAGCAGAAGGTCTAATCAGTAAAAATACCTCCTAGTGAGTTGCCTTAGAGAAAATGTTTTATATGGAGTACCACTGATATAAGATGGTTTGAATTTCCTCTTTCCAATCTGTTTTTATCTTAATAAAAAATAAACAACCAAAACAAAACCAGCCTTATAATGCAGATAAACCAAGTAGTGACTTTTGCTAGTAAGAGTGTAGCTCCTTTAATAAGTAATATAATACTTTATATTTCCTGCCATTTTTTGCTGACCTTCAAAAAATCTGACCTATTGCCCTAAAAGCACTTCAGACTGAGTAGGAACTATATTTTTTGTTCAGTCACTTTTTGCTCATCAGGGTGTAGGTGAACAGGAATGCTCATGGAGGCACAGCACAAGCAAACACGTGGCAGTGTTTCTGTACCAAGATTTTTATTCCATTTCTTACTTAGACATGAAATACCCTGGCACTCATGTTAAGGTAAAGCGTGATTGCCTGTGAAAGAACTTGTTGCCCAGAGAGAAAAGGAGTTTGATCTGCCCTAGTTTTTTTGGTCCTGCTCTGGCAGGGGGGTTGGACTTGATGATCTTCAGAGGTCCCTTCCAACCCCTCATATTCTGTGATTCTGTGATCATAGACCCAATTGAGCTTGAAAGTCCATTCAGTTACTCTGTGAACCCCATCTCATTCATTCTTATCTGAATGTTCTCCCATTTTTGTCTCAGAAAAGCAAAACGGGAGAAGGAAAACCGATGGCAGGAAAACATCCGAAGGGAAGAGGAAGAGAAAAAGAAGCGACTGGAGGAAGAACGAATGGAGGAAAAAGTCCAAGAAAAGCTGAAAGCTGAAGAAGCATTTGCTCTGATGAGAGAAAGTGAGAATAAACAGCTCCGTACAGAGGAGGAGAAGAATAGGCAAGCCATGATCTTGAAGGAAGCAGAACAGCAAAGGCAAAGGCAACTGGAAGAAGACAGAAGAAGGCAAGAACAAATTGCAAAAGAAGCTGAGGAGAGGCGTAAGCAGAACGAGGAGATGAGGAAGAGAAAAGAAGTGACCAACTCTCAAGAGGTGGAGAAACGCACTTCTAAATTAAACATAAATGAGAAATTTGCAGATCTGTTGAAAGCAACAGAGGGGAAAAGCCTTAAACCACCCTGGAAAAATGAAGGTAATCTTAGTCTGTTAGAGTTTTGCTTTAATGGTTCTTATTTTCCTTTTTCTTTTTTAAGTTTATGTTGTTTGCTTCTTTAGAAATATTACTGCTAATGTGACACTATGGCAGGCTTCTTGTCTAAAATATTATTGCAAAACCTCAGCAATGTTCTGTGTCTTAAGTAAGGTATAAATCATCCTTTTAACTTAGGTTACTTTTACGAGTTTTCAGTACCTATAATCCAGGTGACAAATCTTCCAGTGACCCTGACCAACAAATCACAGGTGCTGATGACAGTAATATTTTAGCTTTTTCCTAAGGGCTGCACTTTCTGTCATTAAAGCAAAATGCTAATATGGAGTTTTGTTCAGTTCTGAGTGGATGGGCACATAATACTCAGTGAGATGATTTATTAACATTGAAATTGAGTTTATTTCTGCATAACTTAGTGCCTCTTATTAAAAACCAAAAAGTTGAAGTAAACCTAACTATCTGCGGGACTTTGAAAAGTACTGGTTTAACAATATTTTTGCCAAAGGCAGTTTTGATCAGTTCCATTCTTCCTAATTTCTTGTCAGTTGTTATTAGCCACTTTTACCACTGACTTCAGCAAGAACCAGATTAGAACAGTGCTGTATTTGTACACCTCAGCTCTACTTTGTAAAACATTCGCTGTTAGCCACATCAGGCACAGACCTGGAGAACACAGATATGAAGAAAACAGAAATTGTGGTGTTTTAGATTTCCAAGTAAAATCTTTCCACCTGCTGCTGAACACTTGACAGTGATATGTTTTCAACTTGGACAATTAGAATTGGGTTAAACAAGACTTAGCCAGAGCGATTTGACAAGTTGTCATTTCTTTGCTTCAGAAGACAATGTGTTTAATTACCTGTGTTCTGTTTACTATGATTAGCAAGTTAAACTCTTGCATTGTATGGGTTCTTATCAGCCTGCCATAGCTAGTGATCTCCTTTGGTATTTGCATAATGTCTTTGGAGCAACAACAGTTCTCTTACATCCCTACCTGTTATTTAGAATGGTGGGGCTCCAGCTAAGTGCCTGTCTTTCAGCTGCATCAAAATGGTAAGTAGTTTTCTTACCCTTTCAGGCAATGCAGTTGGTGTCTCAGAGCCTAGGAGTTCAGTTGCCTTGGTAAATTACAGAGCATTATATCCATTTGAAGCAAGAAATCACGATGAGATGAGCTTTAATACTGGGGATATAATTCAGGTAAGATTTTCCTTTGACATATAACCTGTAAAAACCCAACCCCACTTCCCCAGCCTTGAGACACACAAAGATCTGAAGTGTCAAAAGCATTATTTTGATATATTTTCAGATTTACTCAAAATTTAAATTTGCATTTTTGTTTGGTTATTTTTTAACAGGTGAAAGTTAGGATTAGTTCATCTAAAATCTTTATTTGGATCTTATCCATCCTAGAGGTGTTGAGAATCTGTTTAGAATGACAATAGTCAAGTCTAAGCATAAACTTTCTGAAATTAGTTTATCAGGAATGATGTAGTTGCTGCAGTTTGTTGCACATGTGCAGGTTGGCTGTTAAGTGTCTACTTGAAATACAAGTGTAGAAAATAGAGATATGAATAGCTGCATAAAATTACAAAATTATTAGTAGCATTTCAATTCAAGTTAAACACACTAGTTATTTAACAAGTAGATATGAAAGGTTCTTCTGAATCTTCACACTGCTTTCTAATGTGTTGTTAACAGACTTCTGCCTCCTTTTGGGTGTTTTTTTATAAATGCTCCCTCAGGCAGGCGAGCCTATATCTATAGTAGTTTATTCTTTGTCCATTCTTGTAGCACTTTTCTGGATTTAGCTGCATATACTGTCTGTGCTATTAGAGCAGGACCATGAGATTGGCAAATCTTCTGGCCTCTCAGCTGAAACCTGTGTTACTCTGTGTAATACCACTTTTGAAAGCATATGCATTCAGGTGGACTTGTGAAAATTGATTTACAACTGTGGTAATAGAATTACTAAATTTGTATTTAATATATAAGTGAATATGGTTCCTCCTCATGCAGACTAAAAGCAATAAGGGACAAGTTACAAAGCAGTGTGGTACAGTATATTAAACCACCAAAGTATTAGCCTTCAGTTTAGCAGTGTTAAATGATTTATTTGCATTGTCACACCAATGAAGCATGGAAGAGGGAACAAGGGAAACAGGTTTTGTTTTGACTTTCTTCTCTGATATAAATAACTGTGTCATTTAACTACTGATAACTTATTTTAGAAAGAGGCTCACAGCCACCTCCTCCTCTTACACCCCAAACCTCAACTAAGTTACCTAGCTGATAGTGTGTGATGCACTGCTAATTTGTAGTTAATTTTGATGAATGTGCTAATTTGCAGCATAATGGAGGCTTCAACCTTACTTGATTGTATAGGAAATAACCGATTTTTGGGGCAGGTTTTGGAGGCAGTCAGATGACACAGTTAATTCTGTCTGTAAGCAGAACTGCAGCAATTGTTGTCATGCCTGGCGAGGCTCCCCAGCTGCTGCCTCAGGACTGTGCATTTGGCAAAACACATGCACTGTAATTGTTGGAAACCCAGAGTGGCTCCAAGTACAGTACATGATCCCCCGTGTGCATGTTCAGGGCCCATTTGAAGGGAAATAATGTTTTTAAAGCCTGTCTCTACTGGGGTCCAAAAACAGTTGCATCGTCACCCTGTTTTTTGAACGAGGCAAAATCAGCTGAATTTTGAAAGGGAAGCAAAGGAAAATGTTGATCTTTGTATGAGTGCTGCTCACACTGTTCAGTTGAGAGTGCCCAGCAGGTGCTGACACACTAGATACCCTGTTTCACTCTGCTAATTGTTTTCTTTGTCTTTATCCTCCCATCCATAGGTTGATGAAAAAACGGCAGGAGAGCCTGGCTGGCTTTATGGGAGTTTTCAAGGACAGTTTGGTTGGTTTCCATGCAATTATGTAGAAAAATTACCAGATGGAGAAAAATCTTTATCTCCTAAGAAAGCCTTACTTCCCCCTACGGTGTCATTATCTACTACCTCAGCTGCTTCAGAGTGAGTTTTTGTTATGTTTGTCTTAAAATTGCTTTTTCTAAATTTAGCTAATGGTCTACAACACACATCATGTGCTGTATAGATTCATTTGGTGTTTCTTTTTAAAATGCAAATGCAGAAAACTTATTGAAAAACCTATGTGAAAGCCTTCATTTGGAAAGTTGAAGTATTTGATAGTCTACTTGGCATTGCAGAGAGTGTCTGTTTTCTCGATGCTATACACACATGCAAAAAAAAAAGTGATTCTATTTAAATAGAAACTGTTATATGTTAAATATGCCTGTTTTCAATTTGCAGACCACTTTCACCAGGTAAATCTGCAGAAGAATCTGATTACCAAAACATAGCTTTTTCTAGCCTGAATGTTAATACAGCATGGCAACAGAAATCAGCTTTTACTCGCACTGTGTCCCCTGGATCTGTTTCACCCATTCATGGACAGGTATATTGTGTGAGCGTGGAGAACTTGTTGTGTTTTAGATTCATGTTAATGAAACTGATCTAAAGAAAACCCAAACCAAACCAGAACTCTAATACTGAGTGCTCTAAACAGACTAGAGGATAAAGAATCTAGTCTGGATGTTCCACTAGTGTGCATTGACGTAATTCCATATGTTTCCAGGGACTACTCAGCAAGAAGACTCATGCAGGCTGTTTCATAATTCTAAAATAATTTTCACCTGTAATTAGACATACAAGACATTTCTAAGAAATAAGAAGCAGAGTTGAGAGATTGTTCCTCAATGAACAGCTTGCATACATCAATGTTAAAATTAATACTTAGCCATCACTCAGGAATGAAGTTGCTTAAACTTCACTAGAAGAGACATCAATGTTTTTGTTTATCTTTAACATATGCACGAGTTTGGGGTTGTGTGGTCAATCATCATCTCCACTTCTGTCTTTACAGGGACAGCCTGTTGAGAACTTAAAAGCACAAGCACTTTGCTCTTGGACTGCAAAAAAAGATAACCACTTGAATTTTTCAAAGAATGATATCATTACTGTCCTGGAGCAGCAGGAAAACTGGTGGTTTGGGGAGGTACATGGAGGAAGGGGTTGGTTTCCAAAGTCGTATGTAAAACTCTTACCTGGGAGTGAAATGAAGAAAGAGGAGTAAGTGCTGCTTTTTTTTGTTGTTTTATTTAACAGCTTACAAGAAGAGGTGGTTTAGAGTGCAAAATTCTTGCAGTGCTTTAAAGGGCAGGATATAAATCCCATTTACAATTGACACCATGCTGTTTCAGGCTCTCGTTATTTCATTCTGGCAAGCCAAGTGATGTTGGGCTCACTACTGTGTAAACAGACAGTCTTCCAAGGCTGAGTGCTTAAAAAACTCAGTGGTGTTTGATTATTCATCGAGTGCCAGACTTTGTTTTGGTTCATTACTGAGTCGGCTCTCCTGCAGTGGAGTTGTGTTCTGCCTCTGAAGGTGCCAGTTTCTAAGGGACCTACAAATAATTGGAAGCTCCTAAGGCACAGCGTGTGCAGAAACAGTGTATTTTCCTTATTTGAAAAGATCATTATGTCTGTTCTGATGCTGTTCAGGTAATAATTCAAAGCCCGGTCACTGCTGGGATGGCTGCACCACTGTGTGTGAATTGCTCTTTTCATGCAGTATGATAAAAGTTCTTAGAAATTCTCCAGAATGAGAGAGTTCAGACAAATCTTTAATTTGTACCTTCCTTTGCATAGCATAATTTGCTAATATATCTTATTGTCTTTTGCCACATTACTTTTTTTAATTGATGTGCTTTTGGATGCCATTCATATCTTAAATATCAGTAATACCTGTCACTATTTGACAGTCAGGGAAGTCTTTGCAATTAATTCAGAGGCAATACCAACTTTGACATAACCAAAGTGAGCTTAATCTCATCCTAATAAAGTGATTTGTTCTTGATCAGCCTTTTAGCTACTCAAAACATTCTTTTTTCTTTCTGCAGACCAGAAGCTATTTATGCAGCTGTAAACAAAAAGCCTAATACACAGTCTTACACAGCAGCAGAGGGTAAGACAGCATGAAATATGTAATTTGATGTGGTTTATGCTTTTGTTTTTAACTCTTTTGCTTGAGCATTAGTGGTTTTTTTCAGAAAATGTAAGTATCTCATACCCATAGGCCAAGTTCTCTTCCTGCTCTTCTCCATTGCATTATGCTCTACCGTAGATACATGAGTCTAATGAGTGTCAATCATTGTCTTTTAATCAGTAGGGAGTAAATAAAATAAATATTACTGGAGAAAAATTTGTGGCAAGCACTTGCTAAGCCTCTTAATTTAGCATATTTCTGTGCTTCCACACTTATATTTTAATTCCACTTGTGTTTTTAATTTTTGCTGTGTTAATCAGGTAAGAATAGGTTTAATCAGGTTTAGGTGTAGAATATCCATGCTTGCTGTGAAACAACAGAGGTAAGATGAGTTTCCAAGCTGTGGTCTACAGACTTTTGCTGATCTGCAGGATGATCACAGGGCAGTAACTCCCTGTGCCAAATTCCTCTATCTGTACAAAATTGTGTACCCATAATTCAGAGCTGTAAGCTTGGGGGGAGATGTGATTGCAACCAAGCAAGTAGGTAGATTGATTTGCAGATTTGTGAAGACATGATCCGTGTTATGAGCTCACTGATTAACTCTGATATCAAACATACCTTTACTTGCATCTGAGGTATTTTTACCCTCCTGTCTGAAACTGTTGTCTCCTTCTTTCCATGTGCTGTTTGCACAGAGTATGTTGCACTCTATTCATATTCAAGCTCTGAGCCTGGTGACTTGACTTTCACGGAAGGTGAGGAAATCCTAGTGACCCAAAAGGAAGGGGAATGGTGGACTGGGAGCATTGATGGCAGAACTGGAATCTTCCCCTCCAATTATGTCAGACCAAAGGATCAAGAAGTGAGTTCATATTGTGAACATTAATGAACGATGCTTTCTCCCAGTTCCCTTGTATTATTGGTATTGATATCTAGCCCTTGGGTTGTGATTTTAAGCAGAGGTCCATGTCCTTGACAGAAGAGAAAAGCATATGTAGCCTGAGTGCTAAATCAATGCTCTAGCCACAGTGTCACACTGTCTTTCTCCCCATACAGGATGGTATTTTGTTAAATACAGGCTCAAAATTAAAATGTCCACATGCTTTTCTGTGCATATGCTTGAAGCTGATGTAAAATCTGCTGGCTTTATTGCACATTAACAAATGATTGTTGTGTCTTTGTAGGTTTCTAGTAATGCTGGCAAAACTGGAACAATAAATAAGAAACCTGGTAAGTGTGTGACAACTTTTGAACTTTTGGGACTGCTTCTTAAGTGACTGTGAGTGTTTAGGTTCATTGCAGTGTTTTAATGCTGGCTACTGTGCTTAGCTGCAAGATACATACCAGAATATGTCTGTGGGTATAGCTCTTTCTGTAATGAAAAAATAACAAATGCAACTAATATGTTATCTTTTCAGAAATTGCTCAGGTTACTACTGCTTATGCTGCATCAGGAACTGAACAGCTCAGTCTTGCTCCAGGACAGCTAATACTTATTCTGAAGAAAAATGCTAGTGGATGGTGGCAAGGAGAGTTGCAGGTAGTTACTGAAGGAGAAATAATAATTGTGACTTCATGAATGGCCAGGAGGTGATCTTGGGTTTAATTTGATAAAACTACTAAGTATAATATTTTAAAAGCTGAGTAGAAAGTTATTTTTATCTTGTGTACTTATCTTGGGGCAAAAATATTTTAATTCAGTCTTGGGTTGCTGGAGTTTTTTGTGTTTGTTTGTTTTGGTTGGGGAGGTTTGGTCATGGAAAATGGTAAAACTGTCAATTAACATGCATGGGAGGAGGAAGAAGGATGTTGGCAGTTAGTAAATGGGTTAGGATTTAATAGGCAAAACATAAAATTGTAAAATTACTCTAAGGAAAGAACAGGAATTATTGGAAATTGGAGTTGGAAGCTAGTTTATTGTAAAGGGTGATGTTCCCACTTTTCTCCTTCCCCACCTAGTGATGAATTTATAGTCCCAAGGGTTGAAGGTCCTGTTACATGGCATTCCTCTTAAATCATATTTAACATTTTTACTTTTGGAGCTTCATGGATCTTGTCAATAATAGCCTTCATCTTTGCAACCAATGCAAAAAGTTATATCATGACCTTATGTCTGTCTTACCCTTTTCTTTAGCTGAATTTTAGCTGACTCTGCAGAGTTAGCCTGAATTTAAACACGTTGCTTCCAGTACTGAATGCTCTTTTCAATACTGGGATTGAACAGCACAATAGAAAGTTACATCCTCTTAATATTGTTTAATTGGCCTTTCCCAAGTTATTCTGCAGCTGCACACACTCTGTTCTGAGTAAATACTCTTGTTAACATCTATCTTTCCTCTCCAACAGTTAGCACAGGACTGATGTAACTATTCAGCATCTGTTTTTAAAACCAGCCTGTTTTACAGATGCAGGAAGAGAGATCACAATGAGGAAGCTGAAAAATTGCTGCACTGAGTTTCTTGGAATTAATAATAGTGGAGAATTTACCCAAAGTGTGTGCAAAAAATAAATACAGATAACAATGAATAGTTGGTATTTTAAGAAAAGTGCTGATTCAGGAAGAAGCCATACAGAAGTAGAAAAAAAAAAATGGAAGTGAGGGAAGGGAAACTGTGAAACTCTGAATTCTTGCTAGTTTGAAATTGTATTTTTTTGTAGTAGAGCTCACTCACAGTTAGGGGTTTCTAAAATCTATCTTAACTTTTACATGTAGACTTTTTGGTGTACTCTGAAGTGTGTTTGTTCTTTCACTGTGCACAGAGCTCATCTTACCCAGGGGACTGAAAAAGCAAAGAATAAAAAATGAGGAAAATCTTTTTAAACTCTCACACTGTACTCGGTGGGAAGTGTTATCAAATACCTAGGTCAAGATACCTCTATTCTGGACATCTCATCAGAGACTCCTGATAAGAGGCATGAGTGGAGTGTTTGTAGGGTGAAATTTCAGCCCTACAATTAAATTGTGCTCTGAAATAAGTAGTTGCAGTTGAAAATTTTGGATTAACATATTTGCCAGAGCACATAAGGGTGCAGCTTTATTTTAGTTGGGTTGTTTTACCCTTTAGCCAGATTTTTTCCTCTTGAGATCTATTCAGTTTTTAGTTGGTGTTTGGAATCCTGACTTTTTTTCTTTTGTTGGCAAAACTGTGTTGCCTTTTTTTCTGGTCTATAGACTTTTTTTTTTTTCTTAATTGTGTAATAACCATTTTAAACACTTGCAGGCAAGAGGGAAAAAGAGACAGAAAGGATGGTTCCCTGCCAGCCATGTGAAATTGCTGGGTCCAAGCAGTGAAAGAACCACATCTGCTGCTCCCTCAGGTGAAAGAAAAATTCCTTGATATTTCATTTAGAGGATTTATGTAACTGCTTCAATTGTTCAGATACTGGTCTAAATGACATAACTTTTAATATTACGTTATTATGTAAACCCCTAGTCAGAATCTGGGTCTTTTGACAGACATGTCCATTCAGCCTTTAACCAAGAAAGGTAAATTCCACAATTTATTAATCAAAACAGTTCTTCAGAGGATCCCTCCCTAGCATATACTGTCCTCTACATATCATACAACAGAAAGTCTCAGTCCTAGAAGCATGTTTATATCTGGAAATCTGTGAGGATCAGCAGTCCAGCTTCTGTGGCAAGAGCTTTTTTAATTTTGCTGAATTCACAGAAGACCCACACTCTTCTCATTTGGAAACCCCATGTTTCCAAATGCTAGGAAAATCTTACAGAAAACTAGCAGTCATTGACAAACACCTTGGAATTACATGCATTGCTCCTGACAAGGAGCATCAAATTTCCACTAGATTTTTCCATTTGAAATGGCTGGGTACACATGAGGTTATTTCACAGAAGATGAGCTTAAGTTGTGCTTTTCTCCAAAAGTACAGTTTGCTCATACAACAGCTTGCTGGGTATTACTGGGCAAAACTTCACTTTGAGTAAACCAGCAGGTGACAATTAGCCAGCACACATTTCCTCTTACTTTATCATGTTTTTCTCACAGTTACCAGCTACAAGATAATCAAATTCACTTTGTTTTCTGAGCCAGTAAAAGAGATAGAAGCACACTTGATAATCAAATGTTTGGAAGGTCAATAGTTACTATACTAACTGAATGTATTTTCTGTGTAAGAAGGTAAATACATGATGTGGAAATAAAGATTTCTGTCTGGCCCAATTAAAAAACAAAAGTAAAAGAAAAGGGAGGACAGTCCCATATCAAGATTAGATCATGTGACATTTTTCTTATGTGACAGTGTATGTGAAATTGTTGTTTCTTTCCTGTGGTTGTGTAAAACAGTCAACAAAGAGTCTGAATGCTTGTGTAAGTGTTCTGCTGTGCTTGTTTATTCTTCCCAGTGTGCCAGGTGATAGCCATGTACGATTACCTGGCCAACAATGAGGATGAGCTCAGTTTCTCCAAGGGGCAGCTTATCAATGTCTTGAACAAAGATGATGCTGACTGGTGGCAAGGAGAAATCGGAGGTGTCACAGGTCTCTTCCCCTCCAATTATGTGAAGATGACCACGGATTCTGATCCAAGTCAGCAGTGTAAGCCACTTTTTGTTTGTTACTAATTTTGTTACATTATTTCAAAGGTATGTTTTCTGTTCTTCTGAACTGGAATTCAAGAGTTCCAGGCATCAGCTCAATTCATTGGGGCTTTAAATACTCTTTTCTTTGAATACTTTACTATAGTACTAAGTACTTCAAATACGTTTCAGTTTAACCTACAAAGAGCCAGCATGTTACCAGCCACATCATGTGTAACAGTAAGAGTGCTAGCTCTTATTCTTTGGTGAGCTAAAAATACTAGATTTAGTAGATGTTCCCCTGTCATTTAAGATGCTGATGTTTGATGGCTAACACAGTCTGGGACTCAGTGCAGGCATACTATGCTCAAATTTAGAACTAGCTTGAGTCTAGGAAGTACAAAAAAAGTGACTGTTGTAAGTTAAAGATGATTACACTTAAACTATTTCTCAAATCAGTAAAAACAACCACAGGTTAGGAAGAAGGTTCTGGCATTGGCAGGTCATCTAGCCTATGGTAAATACATGAATCCTAGCCCCTAATGATCCTGCTTTCATCCAGTTCTGAGAAACAAGACCTATATCAAAACATACATTAAGCTGAAAAGCAGCAGCAGCAGACTGGGAACTGAATGCTGGAATATATACCTGATGGTCAAAAATTTCTCTGCCTTTTTTGCATATAAACACAGTAAAGGTTTCTGGTCCATTGACACACACACTCACCAGGTTTTTTGTGGCCTCTCTCCCCAGAGAAAATTACCACCACTTCTGCTCCCTCTACTTCTCATCCTGGGGCACTGTGATTAAACCAGCTTTTATATCAACCCCTGATACCCATGATGTTTGGGAACACATCTTAATGTAAAAGTTGCTCCTTTTACAAAACTAGTCTTTCCCCTTCACTTGTTTTCTTCCCTAGGCATCATTTGTAGGTTCCTTAGTACAAAGACACACATCCAGAAGTCAGGTTGCCTCTTACTTGCCTATAGCTAGACTGTAAGGCCAGTGTGCACTCCAGCTGGGATCAACATTGTTGCTTTGTTTCAGAAGAATTCAGAAACCTGGTAATGAGGGTACAGCTTGGATTGAAGAGCTGAAATATTTACCCTGGGTGGCTTTTCATGGTACCTGGACAAATTACACTATTCACCCTTCTGGTGTTCTTTTAAGCTAAATTACATCTGATACGAGATTTTTAGTAACCCATTCACTATTTTATTTTAAATAATTGTTTTTTAAATGTCTCTGGCCAATGTGGCTGTGATGTCAAAATCTTGCATTTAGCTTGAACCTAACATTCTTTCAATTACACATCTCTAAATCATTAAAATGATGCCTTGAGTGTTGGGGATTTTATTTACATAGAGATAAAAGTCTCAGTTTTGACAAAGTAGCATAGCTAAATCCAGATGGGCTAAAAAACAACAGAAACTAACAAAAACACTAAAACCTCAGCCTCTAGATCATGCCCTGAAGTTCCTCATCTACATGTTTCTTGAATACCTCCAAGGATGGTGACTTCACCACCAATTTAAATTCTCTGAGTATTTCAACTAAGCTAGCTTATATATAATCTTTGTGCTGGGCTTTGCCACACTTTTGTGATATAAAAACATTTGCTTCTGGAAACTTCAGGAAGAATCTTAAGTGCTTGAAGTCCAGGGCCTGCTCAAAAGCAGCACAGCTTTTTAGCTCAAGCACAGCATTGTGCAAATACTGTCACACAGACTTCAGCTGCTTTCATATGGTGTGAAGTCTGAGCTGGTAAGTTGTATTAGCAGTAAGCTGGTGCTGTACTATTCTTCTGAAACCAAAGAAATACTTTAAAATGTGCTGGTTGAACTTTCAAAGGATTTCCTTCAGTTATTGTTTGCTCTCATTTAAATATAATGCAGAACTATCCTAGTATTCTTGAGAAATTATTAGGGAATTGTCCCATAGAAATTTTGATGTGGCTAGGGACCAGCATGGAGATAGAACATCATTTTAAAAATACATTGTTATATTTTAAAGACTTCTTAATCTGAGTGTTGTAATGTTTCTGTTGAAGAAAAGCAGTTTCTCCCACTGTCTTCTCTAGACAATCAAGTGTAATGGTATTTGAAAGGGAGCAGGCAGATTTTATTTACTCTAATAGGTTTGAGCCTTAGGAAAATTCTGCTTTTCCCTAAATTTAAACTCTGTTGTGTGGCCCACCTTTATACCCAAGCATTGTACCCAGTCTTTCCTGGGCCTTGCTGGTTGTAGCTACAATGGCAGACTTCCCTGGTGAACTTAGGTCAGTCAGATGTTTCTTCTCTTAGGCTGCTGAAATAGCTCTCTGGGCCAAATAGGCTGTGCTGACAAGCTCACTTTTCCTGTTGGTGTAGCTGCACATCCTGGCACAGGGTCCCTGCAAGGATAAAAAACCCATCAGTTAAGGGTGTTATAGGTTTGTCAACAGGTCTCTTAAATACAACTGAGTCCTGGTGGTTCCAGAACACAGAATACTTGAGAGTCATGCTCTCAGTGACCTTAAGTGGTGGTTGGATGGTTTTAGGGATATTTTAATAGCCCTTATTCTAATGTTTGCACAGAAGTCATCATAAGGAATAAATGAAAGATGCAAGACGTTTCAAAATATAAATAGCTGTACATGGACAGTAAAGGAATACGCAGAATCTCCTCATCTTCTGTTCTTTGTTCAGTGCTTGGCTAACCATTCAGGGTCAGATCTTTTGTGTAGGACATGTTTAGCAGGTTGTCCTCCTCCCCTTCCCAAGGGGTATGTGAGGTTGAGC